TTGGTTTTTTGGCTATTATATTCACCCCTCTTTATAAGTAAAATAGATATGAAGTGTATTACAATTATCTAGAGAGCGCACTTTCATTATTTACTTAAATGTAACCATGTACTCATTTGAAGACATCAACTTTGAATATTTTTTCCAATAAGATCATTCTACTTTCATTATCTTTTGGTTACAAACAGCAACAAAACAAAATATCTACGAAAAATAGCATGAAATGCAAAGTTTCTATAAAAAAAAGTTGGAGCATCACAATTATGCCTTTAATTTTATGATATCATTATGTTATATTAAATAACATAAAATATTACCAATGTATCATATTTTATTTGTTCTGAGGATGTGTAAATTTAGCCATTCTATTTTCTTTTTTCTTTTGAATTTATAAGATGTGATTGAACCTAGAAACTTGAATAATAAGTGGTTTGTGTGTGAGTTGAGTATCTGTTCAGTAAAAAAAATAAGTTAAAAGCAAAAAACATTTCCCTATTAAGTCAAAAGGTGACTCTGTGGATCAAGTTTTGTTGCTATTAAGTAAAAAAGAAAAAAAGAAGCAAGGTTTTTATCTTTCTTAGCTAAAGCACACATAAAGTGAATAGATAAGTTTTTATTTCATGCACTTAACCCAAATCAAATGCAAGATATGGCAACTTACTTTCATATGTAGCAAGAAATTACAACTTACCTAAATATAGTTGGATAATCTTTTCCCGAAGAACCAAAATTGATATGAAAACTATAACTTCATAAGGACATGCTAATTTGGCATTGTATATAAGCACCAATAATTAGAAAATAAAAATATTTTTATCCTAAATTTTTGTAACTTCCTACCTTGCAACCCATTATAAAAACCTCAGCAAGCAGGTTTTTAGTATTGATAGATCTACAAGAAAGGAAAAAGAAGCCAAAATTAACCATGATTTTTTTTTGCAAAACAGTTAAAGTCGGTTAGGTAAAGAGGAAACTTTTAAATCATTGCAACTTCCTTTTCGTTTCTCATTTCCAAGAACAATGGATCCACAAGTTCCAATTTACAATAACTTAAAGATATGAAGCCGATTAATGAAAGAAGGAGCATTTTCAAGATAGTGTTAGATGTTCTTGAATCTTGAGCTACTAAGTGAATATCACTTCATATCCAAAACACCTATTATAATAGTGTTCAACAATAACCCAAAATCAACATCAAGATAGTCCTGCAGAAACAAACCATGAAATATAGTAGAATTTGATTAAAACCCCAAAATTACAAAACATGAAATACATTGAGCTTAACTAATACCAATTTAAAATTCAAGAAACTAACGAAGAAAAAACATGTATCTCCTTAAAAGATGTATAGGGTTCCAATTAAAAGTAAAAATCGATATTTGCACATAATGAAGTTTTCGAATAGCAAAAAACCATAAACCCAAGTTCAACCTCATATAGAGTAATGCACTAAGAACTAAAAAAATACATATTGTGTTGGAGGCAGGCCGTATTATCGGTGCCTTGTATCGGCACTGCCACATTCTCCAACTTAGTATGAGTTGGAGGCCGATTTACCACATACACAACATTTTCTTCCAGAGTAGCAACAGATGTGAGTGAGAAAAGACGAGGGGGGAAATCAATTCAAATTCGGAGAAGATATGCTTCCCGATTTAGAGTGATTACCTTTGCGATTTGTTATAGATTTTGCTATTTTATGGGATTCATGGTGAATAAGGGCAATTTTGCTGAAGAGATGACACGGTAAGGATCCTTAAATTTCGGAAATAAGTTATAAACATTAATGATTTTCAAAATATTAAGTAAAATCATGGAGGGTATAAATGTAAAATCACTTTTGGCTGAAAATGAATGTGAAAGAGGCATGTGTAAAAAAAAAGTTTTGTTTATTAAGATAGAAGATTTTATTGGTCAAAGTTATTGAATTTAAAATTAAAAATATAAATAAAAAATCTAAGAAGTTATGATTACTAATTTAATGTATCGTTATTTTCTTTCTAATTAGTTAGACATAATAAATACAAAATAAATACAAAAGGACACATATATAAATTGCACACAAAATACCAATGCTAATTTTATTTAAAACATAATAGGTTATAAAATCAATATATATTTCTATTTTGATTGTGATTTGACTTGCTTACCAAAATTTATAATATTTTCAAATTTATATAATAAATCATATATATTATGGTCAACGCAATAATGCCTCGAGATTTTTGTAGGTTTCCGTAATATCAATAAATGATACATAAATTTATATAGGAATATGAACATAATAATATATAATATGAAACTAGGATTTTATATCATACATACAAATTAAAATTGTTCTCATCAAATCAAATCGGTACAATCACCACCCTCAAGAATAGAGGTAATGTTTCATAGTTCTTTCAGTAACAAATTGATAGTGTAAAGAGTTAAATTATATTAATTAATATTTGGTTACACTTAGCTCAAGATAAGTTTTCTATAATTTGTTTTTTTATGCTTAGATCGTAAATGATGAAAGGTGAACACATATGTTGTAATAAAGGGGAAGTGAAGAAAGGGGGCATGGACGGCTCAAGAAGATAAAATATTGTTTAATTACGTTACAAATCATGACCGATTTTGTTGGAGCTCAATTCCTGAATTAACTGGTCTCTCTCTCTCTTTCTCTCAGATAAAATATTGTTTAATTACATTACAAATCATGACCAATTTCATTGGAGCTCCATTCCTGAATTAACTGGTCTTTCTCTCTCTCTCTCACACACACACACATTAGACGGGAAATTATAAATTAATTAGTTTTAGAAAAATTATATATAACAAATACCATAAATTCACAAAAACTTATAACAAAACAACAAAATATTTAATAAATAACTAATTATATGATACCAGGCGAATGCCCGCGCGTTGCGCAGAAACACCTATATAGTTGAACTCTATACAAATATATGTTTTCTTTTTAAATATAACAATAACGTTGTTGTTAAATTTGATATAATAATTTTCATACTAAATTGATATAATATATTGATTATTTTGAATTATATGATTATATATACATCTATTATAACTTCATAATCTTAATCGTTTGAATGATTTTACCCGCGAGTTACACATGAATAAAATTATATATAATTTAAGGTTAAATATTATTTATAGTTGTTTTTATTGTTAACTAATTTTTTAAAATGTACTTGCTTAATTTTTTAATTTCTATCATTATAATTATTTAAAACATTAAACATTATTTTTTGATTTTAAAAGTAACAATATAATCATTTATATAGAGTTATTTTTAACTATTATTATTATAAGTTATTTTAAGTTAGTTATTTGAAAACTTTTAACGATTATAAAAATATGATTAGAAAATATTTTAGTTAAATTGAGATTACAATTGAGTTTTTGCATTTATCACTATAATTTATCACTTTTAACTATTTATAAAATATTTTTTAGTTTTTTAAGTGGAACTGAAATTTATATTTAAGTTGATATTGTAATGTTATATTTAAATTAACAATTTAAGTATTTTATCCAAACTGTTCAAAAGTTGTAGCTTTAAACTGGTACGATTTACATATAACAACATATTAAATCTAATAAATTAATTATAATATGTTAAAAGTTAAAGACATAACTTTATAAGTAAAAGTAAATATATTATTTTATAATTGAAATTTAGTTTATTTATGATTACACTTTACGTTTGATATTTATTTAACCTTATTAACCAACTTATAATCATTATTAGAAAGTCACTACAATTTATCATTTTTAACTATTTACAAAAATATTCTTTGGGTTGTTTAAGTTAAACTAAAATTTATATTTAAGTTGACTATGTAATGTTATATTTAAATTAACAATTTAAGTATTTTATATAAATTGTTCCAAAATTGTATCTTTAAAATGATAATGGTTTACATCCAATAATATATTAAAACTAATAAATTAAGTATAATATGTTATATGTTAAAAAACATAACTTTATTAGTAGAAGTAAAGATGTTATTTTAATATTGAAATTTAGTTTATATATGATTATATTCTAGGTTTGATATTTATTTAACATAATTAACCAAATTATAATTATTATTATAAAGAAATTGAAAAAAGTTATGAGAGTTTCAAATGAATGTGGTGAAAGGAAATATAGATGGGAGTTTCAAATAAATGTGGTGCAAGGAAAAATGTTTCCTTTATAAGTATATAATGATTTGTTAAATTAATTACTTAACAGTTATATTTGTTTATGTAATTTTTTTTTGGGTTTTTCTGAGTTTGATCGACCCATTTGCTCCGAGTTGGACCCGGGTTTGAGCGATTTTGGTATATTCTGATCTTTTTGACCTATTTTTAGAAAAAAGCCTCCGTACATATCCGCTTCTGAGAATTTAGAATGACTTTTACAACGCTTGTTTTAATATCTTGCTTTACATGTGATTATATCAAGTTTGACACTTTTTGTTGGTTAAAGAAGTTTCCTTTAGTTTCATATGTTTACTGAAATTTTATTGTATAATTAATACATAATATTTAAATGTAATATTTATCAATGTATTGACAATTGTAAAATCAGGGTTGAAAAGATGTGGCAAGAGTTGTCGATTGAGATGGCTCAATTACTTGCAACCAGATCTAAAGCATGGAAATTTCAGTGAAGAAGAAATAGATCTTATATATATAGTTCACAAGAAGATTGGAAACAAGTAATGCTACAAAAAAAATTTTATACTTTATTGTATTTATGATCATCTCATGAATCTGTAATGAGAAGTACTAATTGCATTTGAAAATTCATGAATTGGCTGTATAACATAGATAACTTATTCATGCATCTTGGAATGCTCTCATATACTGCGCTATTTTTTCAAGTTTTACTTGTTTGCTTACGTAAGATTACTTACGTTTGATTTTTCAGGTGGGTAGAAATTGCAAGGCTTTTGCCCGGTAGAACAAACAATGAGATTAAAAACTTTTGGAACTCAAAGATGAAGAAGAGACATCTCTCCGATAATGAACACCATGAATTATCCTCATCTACACAGCATCATAAGTCCTCAACATCATTCCTTATCCATCCTATTTCAATTCTTGAATCATCTAATCAACCTTATCATCATCAAACTTCCACCACCTGTAATCAAAGTGTTTACATTGACTCTTCAAAATGCATTTTAGAAAACCTCCAACACTCTACAATAGGTAGTAACAGTTTTCAACCAAAAGCCGTAATAAAGGTTCATTCATCAACTGATCATAATCTTAATCAAAGATCACCACTAGATAAACTCTACACAATACCTTCTCCTTCTTTCTCAATGTCAACATTTAGTCTGAAAAAAGAAGGGAGTCAAAATGGTCGTAATCTTGATGTTCCCTCTCTTCCACAACCGGTTTCATCATCAAACACTTTCAACCAGTGTAAAATACCTACGTTTGGACGATTGAGCTCAATCCTTTCAAATAATCATAACCAAGTTATATCTCCTATGTTAAAAACATCTTCTATATCCACTTACGGAGGACCAATCTCATACCAATCAAAAGATTATAAACAATTTCCATTTCTAATGCCAAATACTTCTACAAAACCAAATAATGGATGGGTGAATCCGCCCCTCTCACACGATCATGATTATTCTACATCCCAAATGTTAGGCACATCTTCGATGAACAAATGTGGTGAGACGAAGTTGAAGTACTTAAATGATCGTTACCCATTCATGCCTTCGATGTTTAACCAATCTTCCCTATCTAATGTATCGAATGATCATGATCTATTCCCATCCTTAATTTGCAAGACATCTTCAATTCCCCAAAGTGAATGGATTATCCCAAGTCCTTTAGACGATCCTAACAAAATCCCATCACCTAGGCTCAATACATCTTCAATGCCACTAAGTAGATGGATGAGCTCAAGCCTTTTATATGATCCTGACCAGCTCCTATCTCCAATGTCCATCAACACATGTGGAGGAGTAGACTTAGACCCTTTGAGTAATGATCATAGATGTCCACCATGTCAACCTGTGTATCGCATGACAACAAACTCATTTTCTATGCATAGTAAAGATCAAGATTATTGTTCTTGTGATCCATCAACTGTTGAGATTAATGACTTCTTCAATTTTGATATATTTGATGAAAATTCTATGAAAGCACACGCAAGTGGGGTTCACAGTGATCATTACTGTGCATCATCATAAGTTCATGAAAAATCACCTGGCATAGACATGGCTACTAGCGCATAGACAATGTTGTTTGTGAGTAGTCATGTTGTTGGTAATTTTAGATGTGACTATCGTATTTTATCAAGAGTTTCATTGTCACCGAAACTAGGAACATAGACATTTCTTGTTAATTTGGACGTAAGTTTTTACTTATTTTCTCATGATCTTCTTAAGGTAGATATCATCACTTAAGTTCACTCTTATGGGAAAACATTAAGAGTCTTCTAATTTTTCATGTGATATATGACATCAATATCTTCTAGTTTGATTGGTCTATTTTCTAGCCTATTTTGTTTATGATTTTTTTTTCTTTTTGTGGTTGGGGTTTAAGTATTACTACATATAATGTTATGTTGGTAACTTGATAATTTTCCAATTAAATATTTTTTGGTTTTAGAATGGGGTGTTAATGACCTTGGTTGAACAATTTTCCATACAATATCTATACGAAACTTAACGTATACTCAAGTGTTGAGCAAGATTAGTGTAATATGATAAGACAGATGATTTGTATCTCAAAATTAAGAGACTTATATAGGAAATATGACATGTCAATGACTTTTAATTAAGACAGAATTCCGTGTATTCCCTCGCTAAATATTTAAATATCATATTTGTCCGGCCTAAACACTAAATATCGTATTTACCCTTTTTAATGTTTCCTAATATCATATATAACAAAATCTATTATTTTGATCATTTTTAAAATTTAATAATCCTTTTTTTATATTCTTAAATCATTAAAATTAAAATTAAAAGTGAATGGACCATAATGCCCCTTAATCTTAACTCCCTTTTGACCTGGATACATCAGTCGTATTTCTCCCCACCCCCAAATCCTTTGTGCGTCGCTGACCAGTTTCTCCAATTTCAAGTAATTTCGATGCAAGTAACACAATTACACTTGATCTTGGTTCCCAGAATCATAAACACTTATGTTCTATTGAAGAATTCTCCATATGGGTTTTCTCCAATTGCAATTAATTTTGATTACATAACTATCTTCTTTTCAATTTCAGGTAATTTCTATCTTGATTCTCCCCTTTGAACATCTAATAGAAAGTTATTGTAATTTGAAAAGGAGGCAGAGTTACGTAATTCAGTTTGGATGTGTTTATACTAATTCATAACGATTGTTGGTTTGATAGAAATGGATAAAAAGGGTGGAGCTGAATCAAATGTAATTATCGTGCTGAATGGCCTCTCAAGCAGATTTTTATGAGTATCTTCACCCTTTACAACGAAACCAACATTCAATACCCGTTCTTCAATTACAACTTCTTAAACAATCTTATGACAAATTTCAATTCTTTATATGTTGTTGTTGCAGACATTTGATTAGGTTCTTTTGATAAATTTCAATTCTTTTTATGCTGCTTTTGTTGCGGACATTTGATTGCAAACAATCTTTTGATAAAACAATCTTATTTGTGTTCTTATAAGTCTATCTTATCTTTCTTTTTGTCTTGGTTTTGCTTTACAAATGTTAGTTATGTAATAGACAAAGTTCATATGAGTCTTGAACAGTTAGAATATGGGATCCAATGTAAAAATCTTCGCGTATTTGTATGAAAACCTTCACTTGGACAAATCAATCAACATCAACAAAATTAGAGAGATGGAAATTATGAATAGAGTTGAACTCGGTTACCTTATCCAATGCGTGTGTTCGACAACACATGTGATGAATAGAAGGTTGAGATGTGTTTCGATCGAAACTATTAGGAGGCTACCAAAACGTGAGATGGGAAGCAGTGATTGTAACTTCAACGTGATCTTAATTGGATTTAAGATCAAGGGGCATTATGGTCCATCTACTTTTAATTTTAATTTTAATGATTTAAGAATAATAAAAAAAGAGAATATTTCAATCCTAAGAATTATCAAAAAAATATATTTGGGTATATATGATATTAAATAACATTAAAAAAGACAAATACCATAGTTAAAATTTAGGTCGGATAAATACGATATTTAGATGTTTAACAATGATATATACGAAATTCTGCCTTTAATTAATTATTATTTTGAATCAACAACACAAACAAACGCACAATCATATATATAACATATTTAATTAAATAGTATACGCATCATCTTATATAACATATGATCGATAACATGTATAATTAATGGTTTAACCACATCATACAATTGGTATATTAAAAAAATACAAAATTTTCTAGGAAAATATAAAAAAAGAATTATTGTATGACAAACTTACAAATCAAAAGATCTAATATAATAACATGCATCGAAAAGTGATCAAAAGACCAAAAAACAAACACAGAAGTCTTTAAACTCGTTTTCTTTGTAAATTTTGTATGTGATTTATATGTGTGTCTACTCAAAAGATTGACTTTTTTTTTATAGTAGAATTTTCATTAAGTGCTTATTAAACATAATATAAAATTTATAAACCTTTGAGTGGTTAAATCTATATTAAGAGGACATTTCAATGATATTAGTTAAAAGCCTTGGGTTTCAAATGGATATGGTTTGAGAAAAAATGTCTCTCTTAATAGATACTAGGCAAATTATCGCGCGTTGCACATGAATTTAATTACATAAACATAATATAAGAATTATATGTATTTAAATTATGTTAAGGGAATTTGGTTTGTAAGTGGTAGTAAGATTTGATAAAAATAATTAGTAGGGCAACATTTAACATATCTTAAGAAGATGAGCTTTAGGGTAAGGGTTGGTGTCAAGCTTTCTTCTCTGTATTGAGAGTAAATCGTTCGTGTGTGTGTGTGTGTGTATAAGAGTTTGTTTTTTTGGTGCATTGAGAGTAAATCACATTTAGCGAAAGAGGTTTATTTTTTTTAGTGATAATCTTCACTCTCACTACACCTTCATAAATTTTACCTGCATGGTATGTGTTTGGTGTTGCATTTAGGGTTTTGTTTGAATTATAGGGGTGGTGTACCATACAACTTTACTAGATTTGGGCACTATACTTTGATATATTGTAATATTCCATTTAAAATAAAATAAATTAAATAAGTAAATAAATAATAAACTCTAAAACCCCGAGATGTAATTTTATATTTTTTTGTTGGTACCAAATCTGTAATAAATTATTAGAATATTAGAACAAGGAGTTTAATGTTATAAATTCTGGAAATTAGGGGTTAAAGTGTAATTATTTGACTAGTTATGAATAGATTTTTGGATGCTAGGGGTTGTTTGGGTGACAATGAAACTCTTGGTAAATAAAAACTTACGTCCAAATTAACAAGAAATGTCTATGTTCCTAGTTTGGGTAACAATGAAACTCTTGATAAATACGATAATCACATCTAAAATTACAAACAACATGACTACTCACAATCAACATTGTCTATGCGCTAGTAGCCATGTCTATTTCGGGTGATTTTGCATGAACTTCTGATGATGCATAGTAATGATCAGTGTGAACCCCGCTTGTTTGTGCTTTCATAGAATTGTTATCAAATATATCAAAATTGAAGAAGTCATTAATATCAACAGTTGATGGATCACAAGAACAATAAGCTTGATATTTACTATGCATAGAAAATGAGTTTGTTGTCATGTGATACCCGGGTCGACATGATGGACATCTCTGATCATTACTTAAAGGGCCCAATCCTACTCCTCCACATGTGTTGATGAAAATTGGAGATAGTATCTGGTCATGATTATATAAAAGGCTCGAGCTCATCCATCTACTTAGGGGCATTGAAGATGTATTGAGCCTATGTGATGGAATTTTCTTAGGATCATCTAAAGGACGTGGGATAATCCATTCGCTTTGTATTTGATATGGATTGAAACCCTTTAATTTGGTAATGAAATGTTTAGTTTTAAAAATAAAATATAATTTGTAAGTGTATTTTTGGGATGTTACATTTCCTGAGGGTAGACATATGCTAGGTTTCTTAGGCTACAAACAATAGTAATTCTTCGTGTCTATATCTCTAAGCAGAGGGGGGGGGGGGGTTAACAATATTCAGGTTTGGGTTATACTTGGTGTGTGACTATTTCTTTGGCAATATGTATGTGAGTACTTTGTCATGTTATTCTCAATTCATGTGCACATCCATGAGAAAATATTAAAACTTTAAGTCGATGTCTTAAAGATTATTGTCGTAACATTCAAGGATACGTTCCTAGATTTCCCTTTCAAAGGCTCGTAAATGATGTGTTTTTGGTTCATTGACGTATAGTCAACAGTGAAAATATGCAATCAATGCCTTTTCGAAAGATTTGCTCTTATAGTTGGGTGGATGTAAATGAGTTTGATAGTTTCCCTGATATGGGTAATGGATTCATACAATTTGGGTATTTCCCCAATCCAGATGGAATCAAGACTGGCTTATTTTCAACATTAGGAAAAGGATATTGAATTAAGGCTACTATTCTGTCATGTTTTAAAAAACTTAGACCATTTTACCCTCAGTTGGTTGTTCCTGATGTGGTGTTACATTCATATCATAATTTTAAAAGTTCAATCTCCAATTTCTTCTAGCTACTTTTTAGGCTTGTTGCTTCTAGAATCCAAGGTTCGGTTAAATGTGGCTTTCCTCCACTTGTCCATTTTATCCTTGCTAGGAATTTTATAACCGGGGGGGGGGGGGGGGGTGGGGTCATAAGCTTGAGAGTTTCCATAAAACATACACATTTTAAAACATGGTGCTCCCAAAACTTCAAAGTTGGCAGGGTTTTATGTTAAGTTACCTTTATTTAACTTTAATTTAGCTCTAACTGCACTTTACATGTTTCTTGTTTTCTTTTACTATGTTCTTTTTTTTTTCAGCTTTTTGTTGGCTCTATAATTTATTTATTTTTCCGTTCAAAAAAAATTATGGTACTTAATTGATATTTATAAGATTTAATTAAATATGATTTAAATAGTTATTATTTGGGATAGAGATAAAGGTGATCAAGCTGAATGTAGTCTAAACATCGACGAAGATGGAAGGGGAAGCACTGATGATGCAACGCTTGAA